CACTTGGAAAAAAATGGGGTTTGGCTTTTAGGATTTTAGCCTATTGCATTTCAAAACCTTTTAATTCTGCCTTATTATAGGTCTAACATTTAACTTGCCAGAATTGTGCTCTTTTCTGCTTTGCTTGCTTGGATTTCACTTTTTGAAAAACCATTATTTATTTCTAGTAACTTTCTTGTCTGTTGGACAATTCTTATTCATTTCGGTTAGAATCAGAAAGCAAAGTCCCCATGTCTGTCTTAACATTTATTTAAACTGTATCTTCATTTGTATGCAATTTTCCTTTTTTAAACAATACTGGACTTTTTTTATTTTAATCTTTTTCTCTCCTACAGTATGGGAAACTTGAGTATGATATATTCCTACTGAATGGCTCTTCTATAGTCACTTCTTGTGTATTAATCTAGACTAAATCAAGGGCTGTCCCCCCTCTTTTGGATTCTCTAGCTGGTTTGCTCAAAAAGGAGTTCTTGATGATACTTAAAAATACAGTCTGTGCATGATTGCCTAATGTTAAGTCTATCCAGTCTGTATATTGGTAACTAATAACTCTTATTCTGATCAAGCTTTCAGGTTGTATAGCCTCTCCAGGCTCTATCACAGTCTGTGACAGTCACAGTCTCCATCCCATCAGCTACTCCAGAGCTCTTACTAGGCTTCTCCTATTCAGATATAGAACCATTTGTAATTATGTTTTGTGGTTTATTCTGATAAAATTAACTTATTTGACTGTATTTTCTTTGGTATATACAGTGCCATTTGTCTGCATAGTCCATATCTATCTATAGCTAGGCACTAGACATTCTTATCATCTCTGTGTAATCTATAAACTAACATTTCAGAGTGCCTTTGAAAGAAAGGAAAGGGATATGTGCAGACCCACTTCCAGAAAGAGGGTGACATACTTGAGGAATTCCTGGTGGAATTCATCCTTACCACTCTTCAGAAGAGTCATTACCTTCAAGGCACAATGGAAACGAGCACTATAAGATAGCAATGTACCAAGACACCACATTAAAACTAGGGTAGGGTCCTTCTCACCAGAGATCAGACAGCATTTGAAAAAGGACTGATCAACAATATGGCTGGAACAACTGCTTGTGGCTATTCAAGATTTCTGGACCAAGAGATGCTGTGTCAGGAAGGGAATGCACTAAGGAGCAGAAGGATGCTATGGAAGTATCAAAAGTCCTTTGACCTTTTGCACACGCTGCAGAACTTTGTAATATTTGCATTTATTTCCTTCTGTGAGAAGGGAGAGTCTGTTCTTACTGCTGTGGAGAAGACAGGAATGCTTTCAGGACGCAATGCCAGTAGCTATTGACTTGGGTTTGACAGTTCAGAAAGCCTCTGGGGCTAGCATTTTATCTGTTGGCTGCAACCCACTTCTTATTTCCTTTCTGTGAGGCCTCTAGTTAGAGCACCTTCTTTCTGCATTAAATATGATGTGACATTAGGCACAGCAGAATCCAACAGCTACACTGCAGTATGCAGTGGATATTCATTGTTATTTGTTTCTATTACCATGAATCTTGGGAGGCCTCAACCTGGACCACTTCTCATTATGCTGGGCCATGAATAAACACACAACAAAAAGTAGATGTGCTTGAATTCTACATAAAGAGACAACAGAAAGATTATGGCAGAGTACAAATGCAATGACAGTACTACTGTGATAAGCATTGGCATTAATATACCTGCAATGTAACTGTTGTCTAGTTGGATTGTTTTAAGCTTCACGGTACATAAAACTTTTGAGAAGATATTTAAAGGAAGATAGTGAATCGTTCTGCTTAAGAAAAAGTCAACCAATACATGAGAGGCAGCTGAGGAGAAAATATCCAGTGTGGTCTGAAAATTTAACAACAAAATGATGGAAGCTGGCATCAGATGTTGATCAAAACCAAAGTCAACCTCTTGATACTGAAGGAGAGGTATCAGGTAGAAGTAGTTTTGATGGGCCTTGAAAATAAAGACAGATAACTTATCTTTATTGCTTTAAACTGAAGGAGGAAATTGAAAATACCAAAGAAGTATATTTGGAAACTGATATTTACAGTAGCACTTTGACTAGATAACGAGCATGGTAAAACTGCATTTGTCAAGGCAAAGATTTTCTAATAAAGATGTGATCCATGGAAAACCTGGATGAAAAATACAATTGCCTGACAGAGGAGAAAGACCATCCTTAAAGGGTTGGAAAGATTCCCAAAACTCAGATTTAGTCTAGATTTGATGACTTAAAACAAAGAGCAGCATGACAGTGTCATTCATAGAGGTTGCAGACAGGTGTGGTGAGGCCCTCAACCTAAATATGAAAAAAACTACTAACAAAAGACCAATAGTTGTAACTGGAAATAAAGAACTGAGGGCACTCCTGAAGAAAATTTTCATGCATTAGATCTGCTTAGGAGTGGAAAAGAAGATGGGAGGAGGTATATGAAACACGTAATTCTTTCATGTCACATTTATTACTAAATTATTACAGCTATCTATGCTACCACGTTTTGGCTTTCAAGTGTTGAAGAAAAACAATGTTCATGATATTAACTATATGATGGGTGCCTCATTTGACACAAATAAAAACATGCTACATCCAGCTTGAAGACAGGACAGTCACGATACAAGCCAAGCGCAAACAGCAGCAGAGAAAAAGATCTCACAACTTAAACTTACAACTATCATGCTGAATGTTCAGGACATTCCTTTGCTCTTCCTTCTTAGTGCACTGAAGCAGGGCTATCGCCTCCATTTGCCACTAAAGGAAACTTACTCTCTGTTGCTGTAGCTTGGTGATTTCCAGCTCTTGAAGTATTCCCAAGCCCACACAATATGTAGCTGTGTAGCAAATGCCCACTCCCTACATTCCACAACATCAACTCCTTCTCTTGATACATGCTTTCTCGCTGTTCTCCTAGTTTCAGTCACGGCATCATGGCATGGGTTAAACCAAAGAAACAATGATAGCAGGTGCTCAACACCGGGAGTTAGCAGCAGTGAGTAGTGGAGAGGTGGTTACAGCAGGAGACAATTCAGAGTTCCTTTTCTTCCAAATAGTATTAGTAGCAGCGCTACCGCAGGCAGAACAGAGCTATGCCCTGACATTATCTACCTCAAAGTATCGGGAAGTTGCCATCTCAGGAAGGAGAAGCCATCACATCTAGGTGATCTGCCTCTCAGTGGTGAAGAGTGAAAAAAACTGAATACATATGAAACATCCAGGGGATTCCTTATACCCCACTCACTAGCATGTCGCCTTCTTCCCTTTCTCCTCTGAAACTAGATCTATTCTGAGGCACTTCTTTTCATCTGGTTTGGGGTGGTGCAGAAATGGCTAGAGGGCCATGTTTGGGGTTTTTTTTGCCATCACCTAATCTCTCCCTCCTTTTCCTTCTTTTATGCAACTTAGTGCAAGTAAGAATAAATATGGCAAATAGGATTAGAAGGTGAAAACAATCATGTCTAAACATTTTAAACAACAAAGTAAGCTGATCCAGATTTTTTATGCAAAATGAAACATCCAATGTTCTCAAACCTTGATTTCATTTCATATTGAAAAAATCTCAGTTTAATTTTGTATTGTGAAATCTCAAAAGAATCACTGCTAAGTTTTTAAACTAGAACTTGGAAAACTCCCATCCTGTAAGGAACATAATGAAATTGTGTTTTGAGCTCTGTTGAAGATGATACATTTCAAAATCATTAAGTTCTGTGTTTGAACAAGAAATTATGGCTTCTGCTTAGCACTAATTGTAGTTTAGCATACGTAACCCATTGTCCTCTGTTCTTAGTTGTAACTGCCATCTTGAATCCCCAGTTTACACAGGTAATTCACAACTAGTCACTGAGTCTTCTTCAAAGCCCATATACTCCGCTCGAACAATAAAAAAAAAGGAGAAAAAAATTCTTACTGAAAGTTTTAAACTTAAATCTATCATATATTCAGTACAATGAGAAACACCAGTAGCTATGCATTTAGTTCTCCTTTCAGGCATATTTTTGCCATCCATTTTCTGGGGTTTGGTTTTTTTTGGTTTGTTGTTTTTTCTTAAATTGGACTCTCTAGTCTGCTTTTGATCTGAGCTTATGATTTCTTCTTTGGTCTTGCTCTTTCTTCAAATTACTTTCATTTCATGCTGCTCGTGTGCCAAGCAAAAAAAAAAATAGTCCTGTCCTCCTTAATCTTTATTCACCAGTTATTATCTGTGTCCTTATTCCATGGGAAAGAATATCCAATTGTCTTCACATACAACTCCTCTAGACATTTACAGCCCCTTAATAATTATTCAAAAATTCAATAACATTTCCAGCTTTTCCATTCTTCCAAATATTCTTGTATTTGAATACCAGAAAGGAAATACAGCATCATAAAAAAGGGCATGGAATTTATAATACCTCTTTTGTTATACATGGAAAACACCTACATGTAGTTTTTGCTCATTTGGATATAAAAATAGGAGTCACAGCAATGACTGTACCCATAGCTACAGGAAAAGAATTTCCTCCTTAATCCAAGCATAGATATTTATAGTTATTTAGGGTGAATCCACTGACACATGATATGGGTAATTATTATTGATTAAACACAAAGCACTTAGGTACAGTAAAATATGTGGTTTTTGCCTAAGACTATAGTTAATCAGCAAGCATGATCAAATTCACTCATAATGCCAGCTCAGTTTAGTTTAACCAAGTTACATTGACACAAGTATAAGTGTGTATTTATTAACATTTCAGTGTTCAACTCAGGAAGACAATTACGTTAGTGAATACGTTTGCAGTATCTACACAAATATTGCTGGTATAAACCATTTTTATAGATCTATAAATTTCAAAAAGTTTATGGGTGAAAATACAGAGCAAGTCAGAGGCACACTATTCTGAAAATAAAGAAAACAAACAAATTAAAACTCCTGCCCTAGTAGCAGTACGGAAAAACTCCAGGTTCACATGGTGAATTACCCAGGAATAATGAAATCCTTAATGGATATATTGTATATATTTTCTAAAAAAACTGAAGTCAATTGACGTAAGTCAAACCTCTTCATTCACCGTTTTATCATTATTAAGTTTGTCAACATCAGTAAAGACTAACTATTGAAAAATTCAATCATTTCAATGTACTTACAGCTGAATTTTCTCATCATGTGACCAACTATCCACAAAGCCTCAGTGCCATTAAGAAGTTTTGAGGAATATATTATATGGTACTGCCAAAAAAACATAATTAAAAGAATGCATGTAAATGATACTAATTTTCTAATTTGAAATGTTTTATGGTTATTTCATGTCTAAAGTACATTTGGGGGAAAAGCAGGACTTACATTATCCCAAAAGGCAGGTTCCAGCACAATCAATGATACACTGACAGAATTCACAGTAAGGAGTCACAGTAGGGTCCTGATCTTGCAACTGAACTTTCACAAAAAGAACCCTGCACTATTGCGGAATCTCCTTAATTTGAATAGGGCCCTACCCACACATAATCAATTACAGAGTCCGCCTATGTGGGAGTAACAACAGTGAGAACAGGACCTGTTCCTCCACAGACCTGCAAAAATATTGGGATAAAAATAAAATAAAATTAGTAACATGCAGCAAAACCTACTGATAGCCTGTTCTATTACAGCATTTATCACATAATAAAGGAGATCCATACACCTTTAAGTTCCTTATTATTTATAGGAATTTTTAGCTTTTAAAATTCTTTGAAGAATGTTGGCTTAAAATTGCTTATGGATTTTACACGTAGTGACAGCACTGTAAGGAAGCTTTTATTGATATGTGTTTGAAATACACACTTTTAACTATTATTTTCTAAAAATTAATTATTCTAGTTTCTTTGGTCTGTGATGCAAGTCGCCTTTTAGTGCTTAAGCCTTCTTAAAATCTGTCCCACAACACCCATCTTGGGGACACAGCACAGGCCTGCGAAATTACTGATGTCTTCATGATCATGAAAGTATCAGACCACATATAGCAGCATCCAAGACCAAGGTCTTTGAAAATACATGACAAAAATTAGTTTAGTATTAGTCGGTTTTAGACTAAAAAGGGTCAGCCTTTTAAAAAAAAAAAACTTATTAAAATCAACTATAATTAATTATTTGCAAAGTTTAAACTCTTAGTGAACACCATTTAAAACACAGGAAGCACACAACATAATGTTAAACAAGAATATACCACCACTTTGCTGTTCACACAAAACTTAATATTCATGATTTGACCTTACTGTTATTAAAAACACATATATGTTGATCTTTAAAAGGAAAATATTATAAGTTACAATGTTTTTATATACTATAAGCCATTTAAAAATGGGTTAGCCATAGGTTCCATGAAATAATATTTAAGTGGTGACACTATGCAAGAGTACTGGTGATAAAAGTTAAAAACAACCACAAGATCCTAGAAAAATGCAGAATTTCTTTCAATTTCAATTCAAATCATTCCTTTAATACAGATAGCACTAGGGAAACAACAGTATTTTTCTTAAAAAAAAGCTGGGATCAAAGGAAAGGATTTGAGAATCAAATCAAAAACCAGAAGAACCATAAGTTCCATACAAATGGATCAGCCATCTTTTTTTTTTTTTTATAAGACGACCAGTTGTACTATTACTGTCTTTGATTTCATGAAATGAAAGACATAAAAATAAGCAGAAAAAGGAGAAGAGTATCACAGTTTTTCATTCCTTGCTGCCAGGCTGATAGTTTTCAACTGGGCAGGAGGACAAACAAAAAATTTAAAATACAAATTTCAAGACAGTTGTCTTATGATATTGAATTGGAAGTGTTTCTCATGTTACTGCTTTTAAATTTCATGTTTCATATGCATGACTCTTAGGCTTCTGTTATTCTGAGAAATTCAACTGTTTGTAAAGAACAGTGCTACAGTGCTAAGTTCTGTTTAAAAAGTGTTGTAAGACACCCTGACCCCTGTCTAACAGTACACAGAAAATTTAAAAGTATCAGACATCTGCCAAGTTAGTGCTGCCTACCTGAGCCAGCAAACTGAGTGAACCAGTACCGCTGGCAAGTGTAATCTGCTCATTTCTCACTGACTGAGAAGAATGGACAGACTGTACCTTTCAGGACAATCGTGGTGCCTGTAATCATGCTGCTACAGATTCAGCATTTCCGAAGTTGCAATGCAGCGTCATAACTCGATGCAGCCAGATCCTAATACTCTTTTCTGTCCCTGTGCCTAGCTCCACATCTTTCTTCACAAAGGAAGTTAACTGGAATACAATGCATGTTTCCTGCATGGCTCCAAGAGTGTAGGTTGTAGGATGGGTCAGGGACACATAGCTGCAGTCTAAATTACAGTCAGTTTCTGGGGAGAGCTGAAAACACAGTTCTACAGTTTTGACAGCCTAAGGAATAGCTCAGAGCTGACATCCAGTCAAAGAAATGAAATATTGAAGCTGTCCCGACAGTTCCCTTCTCCGACGTGGACAGGAAAAACATGCACCTAATCCAGGTATAGAAACTACCATAAAATGGAATGATTCACAAGTGGTTTGGGAGACTAGAAGGCCCTGGCCAATTTTTTTCATGACTAGCAGAAGTAATGAAGTCTAGTTACCTATCAGCGTGCTTGTACGTGCCACCAACACACTTGTGCAGTAATCCCAGGCTGACACTACCCTGGCTAGTTTCCTATTCCCCTCTAAACAGATTTCCCTAAATTCCTGCAGAAAACACCAGCTTCTGACTTCTAGAAGAAGAGGCAACTCACATTGTGGCAAGGTTTGAGCTGCACATGCATTGACTGGCAGACCAACCAAGCATGCTGATCTGCAAGTCAACAGGTTGTACAGAACAGAAAATTTCTGAGTCCATGCTGCAGCTTTTTCTACCCTGGGGGCATTGATTTGAGTCCTTTTTCTACTTCCAGCTGCTAGGTTTCATTCAAATTGTAGAAACATGACTTTGTGACCTCTCTCTCTGTATCAAATGCAGCTGAAATTAAGTGGTGGATTCAAAAGTTATTAGGAGACAACACAATCCTATATATCTTTTTTTGGTCCAGAAGCTGGGCATGAAAATACTGTAGCATAATCACTGTGAAAGTAACTAACGAATTTTATGTCACTTATTGTTTTCATTCAGGAGTTACACCACAAACTCAGCTATAACAGAACACAGATTTTTACATGGCGATAGCATAAATGAATCTAGAGAATGTAGAGACTGTTTCAGTAAAACTGGCTTTGTTTTGCCACTGTGAACAGGGCCCTAGATATATGCCACTTCATAAAGGTGAAAATTTAACAGAAATAAAATGTTATATATATATCTCTTGAACTTACCAAAACTGCAAGTTGACTGCCCTTCGTGGATATCCTTGCTTTTCTTCCAATTCCATGCTGTGTCTCCTAAGGCTTAAGAAAAGTTCAGTGATACATAGCTCACTAAAAGAACAGTGACATTAAGTCTAATGAACCTATTCAGTATATCTGGACTTTTCTCTTGTGGGGTTTTTGTTTGGGTTTTTTTTTTTTAGAATAAGCATAGTGATTTTTAAAGAATCACCTTAAAATCCTGATCCTACTGCCTGGATTCAGATCCTGAAATCCCAATTTAGGCAATAATTTTTAATAATATGCAAGTTCCAGTTCCCTTTTTTAATAAATGGCATCCACAGTGCTCTGCTTACCCTTTCTATTGCTCTAGCACTACATTTTGACTCGTGTGTTTCTCACCAAAAAGACATAGTTGAAACCAGAGGGGTTTTTTTGTTGTTGGATTCCAGGAACTGATAAAAGATGGAAAGAAACCGACAAAGTGTAATGACCTCTCCAAAACTTCAGTAAAAAGAAGAGACAAAGAATAGTCAGTGTGGAAAAGTTAACAGAAAACTGGACATTACAGGAAGGTTAGCAGAAAACAATGGGTATAAGAAGAGTCAGGGAAGTGAAAGTGATTTAACCAAAAAGGGGATGGAATAAAGGAAACAAAATTATCTTCTTAGCCGAGCAATGAGAATGGGATTTTCAAAACTGTTTGACATTGGCCTATCTCTTCTTCTACTGAAGTTAAAGAATTACACCAGTTCAGAAAATGCTTTAGGAAAACCTGTAAGCCACTTAACTTGAACCATTTAACTTTAAGCATGTGGAATATCTTAAGCATGTGGAATATCTAAACACTGTTTAGCTAAACAACTAAACAAGTGCTTAAATTTGAAAACAAATTTAAATCATCTCGTAATCATTCACGATGTCCGTAGTATCAAGCATGCATTCACACCTGAGTCCCAACTCCTTATCCTGATAACATACAGATTCACACTTTGGCACTAGCCTGGATCCAGCCCATTGGTTATCAGATAGGCAAAGTCAAGTACAAGACACAAGGGACTAATGTGGATTCACACTCTTCTCTCAAAAGCCATACTCATGCAAGTGTTGTGACTTAAGTACAAGATTAATTGTCTGATGAAGCAGAATATAAATAATTAAGTGCGTAAAGTTAATTCAAGAATCAGGTCCCAAAAAGAAAGCTAAAGAAAAAGCGGCTGAGAAAATAAAAAGAAACAGATTGTTGAATCTGTATTAAAAATAAATGACCTCTGGGTTATATCTGCCTGAAAAATACTGCTTCTTTCTGGCTTAAGTATTAAAACTTATTTTTACTACACTAAATGGTAAATAACCCTGGCAAAGGTTAAATTAGTTCAGTGGTCGATAACAGTACTAAAGTAATTCTTAACACAGGGTGTAGTTCAGCTATTGGTATAAAGGGCTCACCATCTCTCCTGCCTATTTAAACACACTTGCACATCCAAACCCAGTTTGGCAAACAGCTAGGAGAGGGTTAATATCCAGTATTCCAATCTCTATGGTAACAACCATATGGTAACAACCATAGAGATAGGAGAAAATGTGGAAATCATAAGCCGTTAGTAGGGTTCTGTCCCTTTTACTCCTTACTTTACAATACAGTTCCTAAAGGAAAACAGAAACTGAGACACTTTTTGAGATCAAAAAGTGAACCAAAAAAGGTCTGGTGCATCTCTCAGCATCCTGCAAACTTCTGATTATTGTGATCTGTCTCCTGAACTATGGAACATTCTGTGTACCATTATTTTAAGCTGTAATCTATCTAAATGACCAGGAAGCCAATATCAATGCTCAACAACTATATTCTTACACACATACACCCCTGCTACCAATATTCCATCCTTTATCTATAGCTGTAAAAAAGGAAACTCCCTGTTTTTAAGATGTATGATTAATAAATCCATACATATAAGAATCATTACTTAATGAAGGTAGGGTGCTAGAGTAAGATTAAAGACCTGATTAAGGCAGTGAGTCAGAGATACAATAGTTCCTCTATAGATTCAGTGACCTTTTCATAAAATGGTTAAATAAAATAATGTTTTGCTCTTCTCAGGAGAATTATGGCATTACTAAAATTTTATAAATGTTTTGAAGCTCAGATTTCAAAATTTACCAGAAACTGGGAAACTAGAGAAGCAAATGAACAACTTACATCAAGCTCTCTTAAAAGAAATAAAATGAACAGCATAAAAGCAAACAAATTAGTACTAGCTAAAGCATTTCTAGATCCCTCACTCCTGCATTCATTTCAGTAGCATTTCATTTAAATGCAGGCATACATATCTGCAAAGTTTAAGCTTCAATCTTTCCAACATTTCCATATATCTGAACTTCTCTCAGTAGTGACACTGATAGATACTCACGTGAACAAGCACATGCACAGGACTAAGGCTAAAGCAAGTAATAAAGAAATTAGCTAATGAATTCAGTGTATCACTAACAATTATTTTTGAAAAGTCAAGGACAGCTAAGAAGATAGCAAAGCTTGAGAAATTAACAGCTGAAAAACTGGGGGAAGGGGAGAAATTAGAATATGGCCCCAGCAAATTACTCTGCAAAAAAATTTAACTTTAGTACTTATCAGATAACAGAATCAATGCTAGGAAGAAAAAAATAATAGAGCATCCCCTCAATAGCTTAATAGTCACGACAACCACCCTATTTTCTCACCATTTCAGGAGTCCTCTTCAGTCCAAGGCTGAAGTTCATGGGTGCTGTGGAGAAGATCACTTGGAAACTGCTCTGCTGTAATTAATCCATGAATATAGAATGGGCTTCAGTTTTCACAGATACCAAGCCAGCGCTTTTCATAACCATTAAATCCACAAAAATATTAAAATATTTAGAAGTTACAGTTAGGCCATTTTAGCAAAACTTTACCACAGAACCTAACTTTAACAACAAATCTTTCTTAAATCCCCACGGATGTGTTCATTATTATGAAGGCCTATGGCTACGTGAGAGTCAATACTATAAGATCTGAATGAAATGTAGTAAATCCAACCTTTTGACTATACCATTAGTCTTTATGCTACGTTGAGCATTTTAGAGGTTGAAAAAAAATTAAACTGAAAGTTGGCTACTGAAAAATCAGAAGGTAGTCTACAGGAAAAAAACCCACAAAAACCCTTTTTTTTTTTCCATCTAGCAGTTTATAGGAAATCTAATAAAGCAGATGCAAGTCCTAAGCCAGCACATACTTCTTGCAGTCCTTACTGCCTACAGAAGCATCCCTAGATCAGGTGTATACTGGCAAATTCAGAACTCTGTTTTCACTGTACAATAGTAAATGCTGTACACTTCAGTCCTTTCTAGATTAGAACTTCTATCATTGCTAGCAGGCTGAAATTGCAAAAGTAATGAATTCCAAATCCTGTATTTGTCAGGGTAAATCAAGAGACTGAATGGCTACAGAAGAAAGTGGAAAACTCATACATGAAAGAGCACGTTCAACTACAGTTACTAGGTTATTAAACTGAAACTTTAAACTTCAACTGATATCAAATTTACAGAAGAGGTCTGAAGAGAGGCTTAGATGAATCTATAACAGTGATGTAGAAGAAGAAGGCTGGACAAGCATCAGAGAGTAGGCAGGGCTCAAATTAGAAAAATAAATATTAAAAATTTTGGAATTCCCACTGGTTGTACGTCCATATGCCATACAAACACAGAATACCAAAATAATATGTAGATGTGCAATTATTGAAAGGATTATTATAATTACTACAAATGGGTGTATCTTGGTGCCCTCCAACTGGTCTAACTTACCTAGGAACTGGACCAGATGAAGGTAATGGAGTAACATGGAAGTACCCAGGCAAGCCAAAGAGTCTTAACTAAAAAGTTACATGGTAATGACACAATGCCAGTTTTCATTACAACAAATTCTTCTAATCCTCATAGTTGTAAAATAAATCTTAGAAACACATAGAAAGGTAATTTGTAAAGTAATGTGTGCCTGAGTCAGAAGACAGCCTCCAGCTTTCTAATCATCCCTGACTAGCTATGAGCTTCTGTGCCATTTTGGTAGATAAGTACCTTACTTTGATTTTGCCACCTCTCAACTGCACCTAGGCAATTCAGTATATCCAAGCATGAAGTCTGCTGCATATAGGAAACTCCAAGTACCGGAAGCTAGGGGCATGCCATCTCAGTAATGTGGGTTATTGTAAGACCCTCTCTTCCACTCTATACCGATTTTCTCTAGAATTTTGAATTACAAATTCAGGGCCTCAGGATCCTCCAGAGCCTAAATCCAGGATTCCTAAAGAAACCTACTAGGTCTCTAGAGTGGATCCAGTTGTCAACAGTTTCCCTCTTCTGACATAAGAGAACTTGTGCAACAAGGGGGGAAAAAGCTATCATTTCTAGAGGCAGAACTTTCTCGGGGCTGGTGCAAGTCTGTGGAATGAATGTGCCCAGGAGGCAAGGGCCATCAGAAATCTAACTGCATTTTGCTTGAAGACCAAAACACGTTACTTTGACCTTGCCTCACAAATATGTAACGTTTGTGGAAGAAAAGACAGATAAAATAAACTGAAAACATTCAACTGCACGTGCTCCTTCCCCTAGCAACAAGAGAACAGATAATATGAAAAATGCTGGTCGTGTCACTTATTACAGTATGAGGAGATTCTCTGACCATATAGTGACACTCTCTGAGGAGAAGAACCTCTAACAGAGGACAGGCACTAGTCCTAGAAGGCATTCAGGTAGTGCTGTAATGAGAACTGTATGAGGAAAGGAGTCCATTATAGAAACTGCAGCTTAACCTCGTATTTGCTACTAAAGCAGGTAAGACTTCCACCATTCTGATGAGCCCAAGTTGTTTGGAATGGAAATTTGATCTAAAGAATTGACACCACTTCTGGAGAGGCTCAAAATGCTTTTCTCTCCCTTCTGTCCTCAGCTGTGTTCCTGCTGTGACTTTTTGGCTTCACTAGTCACTGAGGAAACAAACTGATGATCCAGATGCTACAGCCAGAGAATGCAATACCCACCTCGTATTACATGGATTTTTAGACTATAGCAATTGCCTTTCTCATTTGTTCTGATACTTAGTTAGATATTTACCCATTCTCGTCCTTAAATCCTTATAATTGTGCATTATTTAACTTAAGAGATATGAAGATGCAAATCAAGACTATTACATTAGGTTCCTGTTTCGTGCAGTCCTAAGTAATACTGAGAATAATGATTGTGTAGTATCACTACTAGCTTCTTGAGTCCGAAATATAAGAGCATAATAATGAAGAGAACTATTCAGTGTGCTTACACATAATAACACACATTTCTGTCTGTACAGGATCGGGGCCTATATGCATTAAGTATGGAAACTGAGAGCAAGTACTAGATCTTAGGGGATGTAAAAATTTCACTTTCATTAAAAATCTTAATGAAACCCTAGGAATGACATCTGAAAGGACAATAGTGTGATTCATGTAGGACAGAATCATGTCCTGTTCAACAGAATGACACGCTATCTTCTATCTCTTATACTACTAGTTGGAAAAACGGGTGAAAAATAATAACTAGAATTATCTCAGGGCAAAACTATACATAATTTAAGTATAGAGAAGTGGTATCAGCAACATCATAATTTTATAATTTTCTTTACTGTTTTCATTGTTACTTCTACTGCAAAGTCCTTTTTTCACAGGCACATAACCTTCAGAAAAAAATTAGAAGTCACTTGCTATCATTCTTCTCAGTTGAAAGGCACACTTTTTGAAAATTTCACTCAGTAATTTTAGTAAAATAAGAGCAAAAATGTAAATACACTGCACACCATTTGTATTTGCTCCTCTTTAACAGAAAGGTTTTACGAATCTAAGTTTTTTCATCTGGGTAATTTTCACTGAGAACTTGGTTTAAAAAAAATGAGAAATCCGTTTCTTTAGCAATACCAAACTTCAAATACGAGGAAAATATAATAACATAAATGCATAATATCAGCTATGTGATTACTTACATGTTGCCTTGCACTACTTTTTCACTCAGGAGCTCCAGAATTACATATTTTCTGAGTAGCAGTAGTTTTCATAGCCATGATGGTCTAAGCTTTTTGAGCCCAAAAGCTTGCTGTTTTTAACTGTGTCAGTTGGTAAAAAAAAAAAGGGGGGGGGGGGGGAAAAAAAGAGAGAGAGAGAAATTACCTCTCCCTTCAAAACTTGTTCTGCTTATATTTTTGTCAGTGTAGCTCTAGAAGGGAGCAGTGGAATCATGAGAAGCATTAGGCCCTGAGCCTGCTAACGTTCGTCTGCAAGTAGTCCAACTGAGTTCAAGAGGACTAGCTCACAGACGTGAAGGGAAGATTTTGAAACTCAGTGGGAACAGAGCTCCCAAGCTCTCGTTATGTACTTTTGAAAATCTTCCCCAAAGTCATGGGAACAACAGCTTGCAGGTCCGAGGCCTCTGCTTTTGACTGCTTTCCTTTCCCTTATAAAAAGCGTATCAGATTAAAAAAAAAAACAACAAAACAACAAAACAACAACCAACCACAAAACAAACAACAAACTGAAGTGAAAAATCCTGAGGAGCCACTCGCAGTGATGCCTTGGGTCTCTCTACAAAGACAGGGGTCCGAACAGCCCGAGGAGAGCTCACAGGAAAGAATCCTTCAGCAGTCAAAAGTCAAGTGCAGACTAGTGCTTCGGGCGGCACTGTTAGCCTGCCTTCTCCCCGCGGCTTTCAGCAGCTCCCAACCTCCATCACGCTTTCCCCGTCTGTGAAACGGGGACAGGAGCACTACCCCGACTACCAGGTACCTTCCGATCAGTCACAGCTTGGGGCGGAGGGGGGATGTGGGGAG